CTAACTATCATCTACATTAATATCCTGTTTACTATTCTGTAAACATAATTTTGTATTAAGTTTCCTTTTTGTTTTTTGTTTTTTTGAGTGAATATCAAATGCATTAAAATTAGGGCAACCTGGTAACATAAAATCTTTGAGCATGAGCATTGGTTTAGATTTCATTTTTTTTATTTTCTTTTTTTATAAACAAAAAATCAAAGGAATATACGAGTATGCAAGTAGTATACACAAATCCACAGACAGATTACACTAACACTACCTCATTTACGAGTTTTTATACACACACACATGCCCATATACACAAATTTGCTTTCATATTGTCATGATGTTTACAATTCCATTGTGAATTTTTTTTTCTGTAAATTTGTACCTACTCACATAAATACATATATATATATAAATTGTTATACATATATATGTATATTAATTTAATGTAGATACACTGAGAATTTTGTAAACAAAATATTAAGTTAAAAAAAGACAAAAAAAAAAAACAACAAAGTTCACAGAGAAAATTTATATTGTAAAAATGAACATTTAATGTGTATTATTCAAATAAAATGTACACAAATTGTAATATTTATATATGTAATTGTGTAAATGAGAATATAAAAAAATCAAGTACACCTTAACCTCGATTTACAACCATCAAACGTTCATAAAACATTGGGTGTAAGAAAAAAGATTTTAAGATTGAAACAAGGAATTTTAGAAAGCAATAATAATTTATTATATTCTATGAAGTACAGTGTATGTTCAAGGAAATTTTACATTAACATGTTTTAATTCACAATCTTAAAGCAAAGTAGGAGGAAAAGTTGAAAATTTACAGGATTTAAGTCGAGGTTAGGATATACACTTAGTTTCTATTTGAACTAATGAGGAATAGCGTTGTTCCCTATTAAATATAAAAAAATTATAATGAATATGTAAAATGCGTAAAAATAACCAGAATATCGCCAAAAAATTGCCAAAGTAATATAAATACCGATAACGAGATTCTTAAATATTATTCTTCTATAATTTGCACCTCAATACAACATTAACAGCTTCCGTATGTCATCCGAGTTACAGCTTCAAAGTGAATTCACTAAATACTAATTCATTGTATTTGCGATCGACCCATTAATATTATGTTAAACTTGAATTTAAACATGTTTGCATATTCAACGACTTTACAAAGCTGAAAATCAAATTTGTAATAGATCACTAAGTACGTGTCAAATATTGCAATGAGTCAAATTCATTTGTCAATATTGTCAATTTTATTTCAATTGAATGTCAAATAAGAATTAAGAAATAATTTTGGATATGGATATGAAAATAGAACTTTTTTTGTTTTTAAATTATTTTGAGTATAACATTTTTTTCTGAAACTTCCATTTTTTTTTTTATTGCTCTCCAATATTGAGGAAGACCCGCCTAAATCATTTGCACCTCCTGATAGCCAGAGCAGCTACTCACACAGAATGTGTTTTTACATTTCCATTTAAAATATAGCAAATTCAGGCAGGCAACTTATTTCTGAGTACATGAAGCAGTAGGTGTACATGATGTGGGCATGACTATTTATGTATGTGTACTTATGTATATAATTATTTGTATTTATATGCATGTATACTTATTTAATATTCGGAAAAGTAGTTTTTTATTCAACGTTTATGTAAATAATTTTCCTTTAACTTTTCCTTTTTGTTTTTTTTTTCTTTGTTGTTCACATTTCCACGAATTATTATAGGAAAAAATATTACACTAAATGGAACATAAAGAGAACTTAATTCAAGAAAAAAACAACAATAAAAATGTAAGAAAAAAGAGAATAAAATTGAGAAAATTATGATTTTTTGAACATTAATCATCATGAATAAAACGGTATTTTTTGTTGTTACTTATTGTTATTTGTTTTTTCTTAGTGTAGTTTTCTTTAGAGAGAATAAAATGAAATTTTATTTTAATTAGAAAAATGTCTTGATGTAAAAGAATGTTCTTTGTGTTTGTGTAATTTTGATTTGTGCATTTTCTTTATTAATTTGAATCCTTTATTTATACAATTAGAAGAAAACTAACAGGAAAATTTTATGTAATTATCAAAATTCGAGAGAATGTACCGGTATGTATGTATGTATGTATGTATTGCTTTTCAATTTTAAATTTAGTTTTTTGAATTAATTAAAGAAATTGAATACACCTGCGAATTAAATTTATTCTGAAATTAAAATATCATGTGTTACATCTAATTGCGATATATTGCGCAAGGGGGCAGGATGAGCTAAAAATTTTTAATAAATTTACACATAAATGGCTAATTATATGATTTGAAAACACAAAAATTATTTGTATTAAATTGAAAATATTTTCGGGCCAGGTTCCAGTAGCTGATATCTCCAATTGAAAGTGATCTGCTATCCCGATGACGCAGTACTGATATCAGGCAACGAATATCATCTGCAGCGATTATTATACTCTTTAAAAACAGTAAAACAAAATCAATGACTATATCCAAATACCCACTTAGAATTAAACTTGCAGTTAAAAATAAGAGTATCGAACAAGTGATGAAGTTAAACTGTCTTGACTCATGAATAACATCAGTGAAAGCAGACAATTTAACATAAAATCGGTTAAAGGTGACTTTAATTAAAAGAGTATTAGAAAATCCCCGAGAAATTATGTGGAAGAATAGTTCTATGCGAATTGATATAGTAAAATTCGAATTTACAAGGGAAATATCTGATTAATAGAACAATAGTCTCTTGCATGATAATAGTTCTGACCTACGGCATAGAAACCAAGGCAGAAACTAGCAAGACATAAAATTGAAACTAATAAGATGATATTTTTCATTTACTGTCATGATATTAATTTCAGTATTATACTTTAAACATAACACTAGCTTCAACAGTTAATGTTATTCAGCTGTCCTAACTTTTTGTATTTTCATAGCAGTACTTTTTGTATGAGTAAAAGAGCAATTTGGTACTCTTAATATTAATATCATTCTCTATTTATTTTAATTAAAAGTTTCTTGACATTTAAATAAGACAACAACCTGTTTGCTTATTTAATATTTGTTGATTTAATTATACATAACGAGGAAGTAAAAGAGTTTTTTTTGGTTATCTCAATTCAAATACTAAAACATTATACAAGCATTGTTGTTTTAGCTCCTAAAGATATGCTTTCTACAATATTATTAAATATATAAGCTTTCCCCAAAAAAAAATTTTTGCTTTTAATAAGGTTACCATTGCTGCATAATATTGTTTTTTCTAATTAATATAATGAAATCTCGGTTCGGTAGTTTAGTCAACTATATGAGCATTAGAGTATAAGCCCTCTATGATCTAAATAAGATACATTTAATTATACAATTCCGCAAGTATTCTTTTAAAATTTTCACAATTATTGTGTATTTATATAGCATTAGATTATATAGCATATATCGTATATATCGTATATATATATATGCCGTGGTTATTACCTAATGTACAAAGAGTATTTAAAATATTAATGCAATTATTCATTATTTGTTATACATTTTATGTAAGTATAGAAAATCTGATGTAATTTATCAAAGTAACTCAATGTCAATATTTTTACTGACACTAAAACAGCAGGAGGTATATTGATTGACTATACGTTTATGTTACCTATGTATGTGCACCTTTTAAATATGGGGAATTTTTCCTTGATATAATTTAATTTTTTTAATAATTTCATTTTTAAATTTGATGAAAAATTATGTGAAAAAGAATTTTTTTTTAATTCTATTAATTAATATATTTATTTCAATATACTCGATTAAATTTTTTTAAATATTACGTAAAAATAAGTGAATAAACGGGTTGCCAATGTTATTCAATTGCAGAAACTTATGCAAAAAAAATATTTCGATAACTTGTGGGTAACTTTAATAATTTATAATATATTTTTGGCGTTCGAAGGAAAATGACGTAAAAGGAAAGTGTCATAAATTTGAACCGAATTTCGGCGCCATAAATGTAACCGGCGTAAATGTATTCTGGTTAGATATGGTGGAATTTGAATTTGATAGGTGTTTACCAAATTAGGTAAAAAATTTCGAATAGTTTGAAATAGCGAATCATCGTTTTTGCTCGTACACCAAGGATACATTCATATTTCTAGTTATATCTGAAATATGTGGCATAAAATTCAATTTCTGAGCTTATATGACACTCAAATATCAATAAGAAGTATATTTTCTCTATGACCTTAATATATTATAAATGTATTACATAATATTTAAATATTTTACATTCTTTGTTGCAAAATCTCACACATAACTTATCTTTTATTTGATAAATTATTTTTTAAGCGACTAGAAATATGCAATATATAACAATATATTACATTATTGCTTGTCACATAATATATATAATATAATAATAATTTTGATAACATTATCATAAATAAATAAACGTCATTAATTTATTACTGTTATATTTTTAATATGTATATACGATATAAACTATAACACTATAATGGAATTAGTAATTTAACTTTATGCATTATATCAGTTTTATAATTCGTGACATACTAACACGTGAACTATTGCAATGACATAGTATTAATATGAATAATATTATTTTCAATTTATAAAATGTCGTAAATGTTGACATAACATGTAAATCAAACATTCATTCGTTATGCATATAAATTGGATCATTTATAGGTCAATTCCAATGACAAGTTACATATTTACATTTTAACAAAACATAATTTAAATTATACAAAGTGACGTCTTGTAAATTAAAATGGAAGCCATCTTAAATTTGTGTTTCATATTAAAGTAGAGTTTAAGAGAAAATATTGTTTGCTAAAATTTCAATGTTATTAAAATTTCAAAAACATTTTTATTATTCCGGTAAATTTCTCTCAAAATGTAATTTTAATTATATACACTTCTCTTCAGTGTAAATTCTCTTTACATGCAATATTATAATAAATTCATTTGCAATAAAGAAGAGAAACCATGTCGTATACTCAGAATTCTGGTTTTAAATTGTTTAATATTCAATTTTTATATTTATAAATTAAAAATTTACATTGTAATTTAAAAAAATTAAAAAATTATGTTTTCTTTTAATGCTTACCATTTAGCCCTGTTATTATTTCCAATGCAAAAAAAAAAAAAACGAAAAAAAATTTTTTTTTTAATTTTATAAAATTAATAAGAATTTTTTGTTTTTTAATTGCTTACCATGAACACGAACAACAACAACACCAACAAAAACAACATGGTTTTTGTGATCTTAATGGACCAGCATTTGTTTGTTCTTGTAATGCTGTACTACTACTACCACTATTATTTGCAGCTATTGCACCGCTACTACCAACACCACCACCCCCACTAACACCACTACCATTACCTCCACCATTTCCACTAATTCCACTACCGCCGCCACCGCCTCCACCTCCTCCTCCACCACCACCACTACTACGTGAAGATGTTGTTAGTGGTATATTACTACCACTTTGCGCTGCAGAGCCCATGCCACGGAGTCGACACCCCGATGGCAGCTCTGAAACGCTGCAGGACATCCTATTTAAATATAATATTTAATAATAAAAGAAAAAACAAATACAAATAACTTTTAATAAATTTAATTATTTTAATTAAAAAAAAAAGAAAAATTATCAAAATAAAACTTACAAATTTCAATTTTTAAATCTTTAAAAAACGTTCTATAAATGGCGTGAAAAATATTTCATTAGGGTCACTCCAAACCCCGATAGGATTATAAGCGCCATATTATCCTAAATAAATACAACCTGTAAATATGAAAAAAATACAGTTAAATAATAATAAAAAAAAAAACAAAAAAAAAAACAGTTAAAATAAAAATTTATGTGTTTGTTTATTTTTTTTTTATTTGTTGTTGTTTTTATTTTTTTAATTTTTATAAAAGGAGATTTTTTTTTATTGCGACTTAAAAAACGTAAATTAATTCAGAAAAGAATGAGACGGAAGTTGTAACCCCATTTTTTTTCCCTTTTTTAACATTTTTATTTTTATTATTCTTGTTGTTGTTTTCATTTTTTAATATTTCTTGTACACAACATGAGTTGAATAAACATTAGATCTAAAAACAAATTGCAATAGAAAAATAGGGGTGATGATTGATAAGGTCCAAAAGCATTGTTAAAAAAAGAAGGAAAGTGAGAAAAACAATTTGTTGTTCTCTTTGACTTGGATGTTTTTTTTTTTTATTTTGTTCGAATTCATGTATTGTTTGCGAATTTAGATTATCGTATACACTCAGTAATGAATTTTATGTTATTGTTATTATTTAACATACTATATACCTAAGCACTTGTTGTAAATATTAAGGAGGTTTAAAAAAAATGTTTTTTGTTGTAATTATTGCAGTTATATCTAGAAAAGTTATTAATGTAAAATTAATGAAATCTTGTGGGTTGCCCATTTCTTATTAAAATTTCTAAGGCAAACAGGGTTATCAATAAAGCTTATCGAAAACTTTTGTAATTTTGTTGTAAATTGGCAGGCTGCTCATTTACAAAAAGTCGAAAACAACATCTAGGCAACTTCAACAACACAATCGTATATATTCCTGACGCTGACTCGTTTTATTGTTTAAATATTTAATTTTATTTTAGAAGGTGACCGTCCTGTTAAAATTATAAAAATAAATCTTTTTAATTTTTCCATTCCACTCCCGATTTAATTAAGTAACTGCAGTTTTCTTATTCTGCCTCTTTGTCCGGAAGTCCTTCTTGAAAAATTCCATTGTTTTTGGAATGGAGGTGGTATGAAAAATTTTCTTTTCCAGGAATAGGTTTCATATAGGTAATTAAATAAATAAATTTTTTTCCACAACTCTTAAAAATCGAAGGTACAGAAATTACCTTATATAATTTGCAACATATTACTGTCTTTAAATATCGCAGTAACTTTTTTCCTTTCATCGCTGCAGGTAAGTTTGAGTAGACAATTTGTGACATAGTTCAAAGAGATCTACGCAGTGCCTGGTGTGAGACAACTCTGGTAGCTTTCACTAGCAGAAGAACCCTGGAACAACTGCACACGATTTGTATGAGTCTGTCTCTTGTTGAGAGCAAATATGAGAATAAATACCTGGTGGTTGTATTTGATTCCAAACTTCTTTGGTGAAGTCACGTAAAGGCTGTGTGTGTGTAAACCACCTTCTTCTCACATATGAAACAATGTATTAACGGAAAGGATGGTTGTTGAAATGACTAGGGAGAACTTGGAACGATTGTGGAAGGCAGACTATTAAAACTAAACCAGACTATTAGAACATACCCAATTGCGGCAACGGAGATGATTTTTGGCGACTAACTATTTGCATCTTGTTGCAAAACTCTCATTCACCTCGTTGTTGGGCAATAAGACCAGCAGGAAGCGCAAGTTTAATAGCTACGGAATTTCACACCGTCACGTGGTACCCTGATGGGTCAAAGACATGTACGGGAACGGGGCGGAAGTTTTTAAGGTAAGAACCAAATTCTTCGAACTTATGGGAATATATTTGAGTGTGTTTCAACCGAGATCTGTCGATCACAACAGAAAGTTGCTATAGAGCTCATCGCTGCTGAATCCCTTCAAGTGGGTGCTAAATTTTCTCATCTCAGACGTGCTTACGAGGAGATACACTCTATCATTAATAATATTTCATAATTCTTCAATGTAAATAACTTGATTGTAAATTAAATGGAAAATTTTTTATTTTCCATAATATTACAATCAAAATGAATGCTAAAGGCAGTCGTCAATACAAAAGTTCAAACTAAGTGAGAAACATAAATTGAAAAGATTTGTGATGATTCATGACAGTAAGAGCGGAGCGGAGTATACTAAGAGCGAATACACTTCTTTTTCAATATGTTATTAATTAAAAAATTTTAAATTTTTTTTTTTTTAAATTTTCAATAATTTTTTTTTTTTTTGTGAATTCACTTACCTTAATTTAAATATATTAGTTTATCCACAATAAGCCGCGGGATTAAAAATTTGAAAAACTTAAAAAATTTATTTTGTTTGTTTTTCACAAAAACTTTATTTACTTTAGAAGTATATTTAAATCTTTATGCATGTATATATAATGTTGTATATATATTAATAGTAAAAATATATATATATATATAGGAATATTTTCATAAAACAAAAAATATTCAATCGAAATATTTAATTGTGTCGCTTCTTGTTGTTGTTATTGTTGTTTTATTTCCTTTATAGTGTTTTCAATTAAAATTTTTAATTATTTTTAATAATAATAAAATTATTTTATTTTAAAAAAAAGAAAATTAGGCGATCAGACGAAAAATAATCTCAGGCCAGCTAAATAAATCTCGATTCTTAGTTTGTTTTTTTTTTTAAATTTAATTTAATTTAATTTATATTAAATTTTATATTTTTAAATAATTAGTTTTTCCTTTTTTTTTGATTATTTTTAATGATTTTGTTCTATAATAATTTTTTTTAAATTTTTAATTTTATAATATGCTTATATAATGGTTAATATATTCGTTTCTATATATATATATTATTTTATTATATATATTTGTTGTAATTAATATTTTTTATTATATTAATTAAATTGCTTTCATAAAATTAATTTTCATTAAATTTTTTGTTTCTTCTGATGATTTTTGTTTATTATATATGAATTGATTTTTATATATAATTATAGTTATGCATAATATATATTTGTTAATATATATATATATATATATATATATATATATTTTAATGTAGTTATTATGTACAATTTATTTTTTTTTGTTTTATCACAGAAACATAGCTCTTTTTATTTTTATTTTAATTTTTTTTAATAATTTATTTATAATATTTTAGTATGTGTGCTATTAAAATGGGAATAGATAATAAATTTTTATAATATTCAATTATTGTTATATAAATATAATAAAAACTTTTTTTTTGTTTTAAATAAAATTTAATTATTAATTGAAGAATAAAAAAATAAATAATTAAATTTATGATTTTTTTTAAATATTTTTTAATAATTTTCAATTTATACATTATATATACGTATACATAATTAAGAATAATTTGTTTCATAATTTTATTGGTTCAAGAACTTTATTAACTCTAAAAATCTGTCACATATTATACATAAACTGTGTGTGCCGTGTATTTCATGAGCACAAAGAAAAATAAGTGTATACAAATTAGAAAATAATTGTAATATAAAATTTACAAAAGAAATGGACACTCTGCATGTATACAATACTCTGTATTCAGTAGTTTCAAAAAGTAGAGTTTTAAGCACATTTATTTCGGTAGATGACTCTATACGATAGGTTTTTCTGCTATATACACTAAATTTCGTATTCAAAACAGTGTTCCATTAACAAGATATTCTACAATTATTCCGGAATAGTTTAAAATATTAGTATAATAAACGGAATGGAGGTAATATTAAAATAAATAAAAAGATTCTCTCTCTTTCTATATTTTGAAAATATTGAAATGAGAATATTGAGTAACATTTAAAATTGAGTATACAAACTTATTGAACGCATTAAATATATAAATATAACATTAAAATTAAAATTCTACTTATTCAAATCTCAATAATTTAATATGGTTTCTTAAGAACATTCGAGAACTGCTATTCAACTAAATTGGAAATACCTCCAGTTTTATATTTGAATAGGAATGTTATATAAACGGGAGCTAGGGCAGACTACAATAAGTCGCGAAAGACTGCGGTGACCCGGGGGAAATATTCTCCTGCCCCACTCAGTTCCCCTAAAAAGCTACAATCTACAATTTATATCTCATTAATTGTTATACATTTTCCATATAATATAACAATTACATAATTTCCGTTTTATTATAACCTATATATTGGTAGCTAATTGCCCTTTAAATTCTATAATACTCAAAAAAATTTTGTCTAAATTCCGAATTCTAATATTTTTCAAAAAATATTTAAACATACATTCATGCATACAAAAATTATTGATTCATTAATTTTTTTTTTCCTCATTTCTCAAAAAGTCAGTACTCTTTTTTGTTATTTGTTATCAAAGGAAATTCATATATAAAAAAAATTTTTACAAAAATGAAAAATAATAAAAAAAAATTTTTAGTCCTTGGAAAACCTAAATGACGTAAACTTTGTTTTTTTTTTATTTTTGTTTTTTTTTTCTTATTGTATTAATGAAAATGAAATCTAACAATTTACATTTACATATATAGAAAGTATAATAACGTGTATAGGTAAAATCTATGAATATTTTTTTCTGAGTGGGCTGTAAAAATATGAAGAAAATTGTAAAGGGGTATGGCAACAATATTCATAATTATTTACATTTTAATATAGAAATTCGAAAATTAGGTAATAAAAAAAATTAATTATAAATTTTAGAAGAAGACAGAAAATAAAATTTATTTGAATAATTATGATTTCAGTACGCTATTAAAATTTTCATTAATAAATTTAAAAAAAAAAAATACACACAGAAAAAAAATATATTTTTCATATGTATACTTGTTTTTTTGTTTTTAGTTTGTATTATTGTTGTTCTTCTTCAAAAAAATTCAGAATGAAATATGAAACTGATGTCATCAATTTTTTGTACTCGCGCTAACCTTAAGTTCATCAAGTGTATAACATTTTCTATATAACACATATATATAAGTATATATATATAACAAATTGTATATTATAAATTTTCTAGGTGTATATATTAAACTTTTTATATTTTATATTGTAAATAAATAAATAAATATAGTTGTTTGTACAAATATAACAATATGGAATACATAAAATATTAGTATAAAATACATTTACAAGAAAAATAGTATATTATACACTATTATACATGTATGTATGTACATTATAATTAATATATACACACATATAGATATTTGCATGTATATATTATACATATATTTAAATGAATGTATGAGAAAAAAGAATTATGGTATTATTATAGAGTGGAGGGGAATGTATAAGAGATAGGTGTAATGAAAAGCACCATTGAGAATTATTAAGTTCTTTTAAAAAGCATTAAATTATAGGTATACATACATATCGAATGTATATGCAAATTTAATATATATGTATATAGATGTATATGTTCTTTTTATGTACAATAAAGGCGATTATAAATTATAAAATTTTCAATTTTTAGGAGTACACTTGTTATATGCAAACGTATATCAAACAATTGAATATAAATGCATACATACATATTTATACATATATAATATATATATTTATTTTGCATACAACATTTTATGCGATGGCATCCTTAAGTGAAAATGCAAAATTTATTGGTTTTTTTTATATACACACATACAAAACTTGTTGCCTTTTTTCATTTTAATTTTTAATTGTTATAATTGTAGAATAAGAAAAAAAAAAGTGTTCATGTAAAATGATTTTTTTTTTTTTTTTCAATTATACATTTTATTTCGTTATAAAATTTCCCTCTCTCCCCACCCTAACTACTTACAATATAGTTATTCCGCCCGCCCACAAATTAATGTAGAAATAATAATGTATATGATTTTCTAAAATGTTATACACGAATATACGCGAAATAAAAATAATGTTCCATGCTCTATGGAAAATATGTATCTATAAGAAGGGGTTGAAAAATTTCTTGTTTAAAGTTATACATACATGGTATAACAATATCAAAATGTAATTATAATTTTTAGTCTTGTACAAAATAAAGAAATGGTTGATTTTTAGGGTATATAAACTTTAAGAAAACTTTATAGTAATTTTTAAATTCAAAATTTCAAGCTATCTAGGGGAATGTATGTGCTTTATTTCTCCTTTAAATGCGATTTTAAGGTAAAAAAGGAATAAACGCGCGTATGTGTAGATATTCCTTTCAACAACTTCTTCAAATGGGCTTGATTAGTCTCGCTGTTCTAATTTTTTAGTGTTATACGTTTTAGTTTTATATCATTGCCTATTACAGGTAGAAAGTTCTGTCCACATACGAGACAGCATAAAAAATGTAACAAAACTACCTAACTGACGGCAGTATACACGGAGCACTTCCTAGATTTGGATTACCCTTTAGTATGACGTGTCTCAGCTGCCCTGTAATGAACAAGAATACTATTTTTCACTATGTCTGTGGAGTTCTCGGCTCTGGGCGGAGCCAGACAGGTCACGTGAAGCAGAGCAAAATTGCCGGGGCTAGACGAGATGTCGAAGATTGACATCGGGAAATTTGGATATCAATTGGGAATCAACAGAGTCGCGTGGCTTAGATACACGACTTGTAATTTGAACGCTCAATGACGATTAAAGGTTAGTGGCATAAAACAGCATATTTGTGCTAATTGGAGTGCGTTGGAACTGCTGTACCGGCCACGTCAATCAACTATGCCATAATTGAGATATTCAAATTTTTGACGATTCTTCAAACAATGAACTTTTAATCATTTCATTCTGTTATACAGAAATTTATTCTATATTTTAGCTATTCATATATGTATATAAAGATAATTGAGTTTCACTGTGTAATTTTTGGAGTACATGGAGTGGTTTTATCAATCAAATTCCTACATAACTGTAAATTGTTCCCTTTAAAATGAAATTTATTTTTTCAATTTATTTGGTTAGTTTTCTACCGAAATCATTTTTTCTTTTATCACAAAAATTACTTTGCGTATACCAATATAGTTGAATGTAGTAAGTTCAATTAAGATTAAGTTTTAATAAATCTGTTAATTGATTTTAAATAGAACTTCATATACGATTCAATTTAAGTTTATTTTTAATTTTTTGCATATATTCTTCTATATCTTCTTCTCATGTTTTTATAATATGGTGATGAATTATTGCATTCGCACTTAAAGGAGCACAAAAGCAATTTAATTTAAAAGTGCAAAATATGCGCAATCGTATTTACGTTGTTATAAATTACATACTTATAATTTTTATAAGATACACACGTACATGAACATGTAAACCATATACCATACACACGATCTTATACATTATTGTATTAAAAGGAGAAAAAGAATAAGCAAGAAGAAGAATACTAAACAGAAATAACAAAATAGAAAATTTAATTACATGAACAAATTAATTGAATTCAGAAAAAAGTTCCTCTTAATTCAATTCATTTTCACTTTTACATTTTTGAAATATGCATGTGTTTTGATGCTTGAGTTTTGTATTGATTGGAATTTTGATTGAACTCAAAAACAAAGTGCGTATGTATATGCAGTTTATGTACTAAAATTTTTTACAAATTGCGAAAAATCATGTCATTTACATTATAGTCTAAAAATTTTGAAACTCACATTTTTGTATTAAATTCAATAATATGAAGAAAAAAATGATTTTGAGTAGAAGAAATTCTCATTGTACTGGCAAGTATATGTAATACTTGTACTTTACCATACTTAAATAGAGTGTTGCCGAGAAAGATGAAAAAAATGTAGTACAATAACAAAATAAACTTGAGCAAATCAATGATTTATAAAGTAGCAGTTTTCACTTTATCAAAGGAAAATACGGATTTCCAAAACAATCTACTATATATTACATTCTTCCATTAGCCAAAAACTACAATCAACAGTTGCCTCAGAATAATAAGCCGAATATTCTGTACAATAGCAAGAAGACCTCGGG